AAATCTAATAAACTCCCTCTTTAGCTCTGTGTACACAATGGAACAAGTCCATAATAGGGATAGCAGTGCCACAGTCTCTAATGAACCGCAATGGCTCAAAATTGGTATGGTACAGAAACAGACAAAATGAAGGTGAATAAAGCACATAGACCAGATGGCTTACACTCCATATGTCCTCAAATAATTGCGCTTTATCATTTCAAAACCATTTTATCAGATTTTATTTAAATAACTCGCTTGGTACCATGTATTGGCACAAACTAGCGCCCTCCCATCACCTAAAGCTCAGTATACTGAGACCGCTGCAGCCGGGATGGATCCCGACGTTACTGTCAAGATCCACCCAGCTACGTGATTGACAGCTGGCTCTGCCTATCTAGAGGCAGAGCCAGCTGTACCCGCCACCTCCCCCGTCCGTTCCGCCAGTCAGCACTGGAGGATCGGAGGGGGGAATCCCTGCAGGGAGCCGTAAGTGACTGTCACGACTCTGCAGGGACAGGATCGAGAAGTGAGCGAGTGACAGTATGTGTTCGCTCACTTCCCGATCTATTGAGCCGACGTGTGACAGTTTAATTGTCACACGTCGGCTCGACCTATGAGGCTGAGTGAAAGTGAGTGACTCACCTCATAGTTCTCCTTTAAAAGGGGTCCAGACTCCAGAGATAGAGGCACAATCCTGCCCCTGTACAAAGCATTAGTAAGACCTCATCTAGAGTATGCAGTTCAGTTTTAGGCACAAGTTTACAAAAAGGATGTTGTGGAACTGGAGAGAGTACAGAGAAGGGCAACCAACCTGTTAGGAGGCATGGAGGAGCTCAGATACAAGGAGAGTGCTCCTGTTATAAGGCTATAATTTCAGCTTGAGCTTGAAGCGGTGGCTACTTTACAACACGCACAGGGAACATGGGGAACAAAAGTAACCACCCTCCAGAGGGAAGAACAGTGTCAGCACCAATTCAGAGATGATTTGAGCAATTACAGCCAAGTGATACACAAATAAGATACATTTTTGTTAGTAGTTAAGGTACTTGAATGTATTTTTAAGCTTTATTTCCTGAGTTTAGTAAAACGAATGGAAAAGCGCACTACCTGGAGTACCAACTGTGGGAACGTGGGCACAAGTGATGGCAATAAAATTAGATAATGAAGGGTTAAAAACAGTGTGCAAGCTCTGTAGTAGACAGGGTGAGGGACCCTGTAGGAAACGACATACATAGATATATTTAGAGCGCTACTACTGTATAGAGAGACTTACGTTTAGGGTGTCCCTGTGTCTCAGAGGGAAATCGTCTGTGATCCCCGTGTGTGGCTTGACTTGACCAGGGCACAAGTAGGTACACGATGGGATGGATGGATGAATGAATGCGTGCCTAGATGGTATAGGGCTGGCAGGAACGATCATTTGTTCGAGCTGTGCGGGCTGGGATGGCCCCGACCTGGCCGCAACGGCAGTGCGCGGTGACCGCTAAATGGATGTCAGTAGGTCAGGCTATACGACAGACTGTGCATGAAGACAGAGGGGGCCGCGATGTGTGGGAGTCTGCTGAACCCGCTGAGCGTCATAGAAGGTGCCCAGTGGGTTCAGATAGCGCTACGCGTTTCGAGGTACTTGCCTCTTTGTCAAGCAGAGATAAGGGGTCCTGAGTTTAGTGTCACTTTAAACAATATTTCCTCATCTTAATTAAAGGGAAACTACAGTTTCTAGGATCTATTCTAGGCATAAAAAGTTTTCTTTCTGGTTCTTTCCACTGGTTAGAAATCATGTCATTCAGCAATGTATGTACAGGTAAGGATCTCTTCTTTCACTTCTTATCTTGGACTAAAGTATTGGGTTGAACATCTTTGATCTGTTTGGAATTGAATATGGCCTATTAAAGCTCATTAGTCTCATCTACCAGGAACAGATCCTTGGTTGTGCTAACACCACCCACATCTTCTTTATTCTCAGCAGAGCAAGCTTCTTCATCTGTAAAGGGCCTAGACCAGGGATGGCCAAACTGCGGCCCTCCAGCTGTGGTGGAACTACGTATCCCATAAGGCTTTGCAAGATTCTCACAGCCACATATATGACTCCCGGAGAGAGGCTTCATGGGATTGGTTGTTTCAGCACAGCTGGAGGGCCGGATTTTGGCCATCCCTGGCCTAGACCCTCCTCTCCTTCTTACAGGTTATTCACAAAAGGGTGAAGAGTTTGTAGAAGGCAGGAGAAGGGAACAATCTAGGACAAACATTATCCAATTCAGCTCACTTTCCAGTTCAGCTATGGTGTCCTAGATCAGGGGTAGCCAAACTCCGGCCCTCCAGCTGTGATGAAACTACAAATCCCATGATGCATCTCTCTCTGGGAGTCATATATGTGGCTGTGAGAATCTTGCAATGCCTCATGGGATTTGTAGTTCCACCACAGCTGGAGGGCCGAAGTTTGGCTACCCCTGCCCTAGATTGTTCACTTCTCCTGCCCTCTCCAAACTCTTCACCCTTTAGTAATTAACCCTGTAAATCTCATATTGCCTGCGTCCCCATACTTTCTAGGTCTATCACTGAAAAATCTCTATGCTTACTTTCAGTATCTCTAGAAAAACAGTATTTCAGAGGCGCTGGGAGGCGTTTTCAGTTGTTCTCTATAATGGGCTCAATCTAAGCCTGAAAATTGTTTTACTGCTTTATAGTTAGGCAGCTCAATGATGCTGGGTCTCCACAGGGGGATACTGGAAGCCGGTCAGATATTGAGAAAGAAAAATAGAATGCCAAACTGATCGAATATTAGAGTTCACAAAACGTTAACAATCACCAGCGCGTTTCAGGGGAAGACACAAGCACCTTCCTTGGGGCTCAAAACTGTAGGAATGAAAGTTTGTACTTTGCATGATATAAGGATTACTTGCCCAGATTGAGAAGTTTGCAAACAACGGTGTCCGGACTTTGAAAATCTGAGCAAATAATCCTTAAAGGAAGATACAGCATTTATCACTGCCCCCCTTATCTGATAGAGCTGGTCCCATCACCAGTGCTGTCATGTGATAGAGATAGGAGTGAGTCACAGAAGTACATATTCATTTCTTTGCTCCCATCTGCTGAATGGAGCAGCAGGGCAGCAAAGAAAAAATATGTGCTGCTGCAAAGCAGAGCATTAAAGCACCCCCCAGTTGATTTGCTTTAATTTAGCCACACCCTCTTTTTTCAAATATGGCCTGTTAAAGGTCACACACTGCCCATGCAAAGTTGATAGCCCCTTACAGCCAATCTGGCATCTCCAGGGTTCTTTGTATCTATGTGTGTAGAAATTGACTATATCAGCTCTAAATGCTTCAGACCATCTCCTGCCGAATCTTAATCCTTATTGAACCAGGGGCTGCTCATCACAGAGATCAGGGATTCCCTTCAGCACATGCAAAACATACAAGGCAGAGCGCCACCTCCATGTGTAAAATCATTTATTAATAGGGACGAAGATGATAAAAATTATACTCACAAGTGGATGTGGAAGGACGCTCTTTTTGCACACAATCAGATTGTCACAAAAGATTTTCAAGAGGACTTCACCCTAGTAGCAAGCACAGCAATCGACGTACCTATTAATAAATGATTTTACACATGGAGGCGGTGCTCTGACTTTTGTTTCTTTGTATCTATAATTGGTGTCACAGCCAGCCCTACCCCTCCCTCCTTCTGCATTCACTTAAAGGAGAACTATGGGGTCAGGGCTTTTCCCCATAGTTCTCCGTAGGGCAACGGGAGGACACAAACCTAAGCTCAGTATACCCAGCGGTGTATTTACCTTTGCTGCTGCCCTAGGCAAGGCAGCAACGCGGCCCCCCCCCCGGGACTATGTTTGCCTCGCGGCAGATACGCCCCTGAGTATACCGCGAGCTACATCCCAATGATACCTGCCTGCATCCATCTTGGTGATGGACACCAGTAGAGAGAGGAGGGGAAGTTATGCCGCTGGGTCCCCTCCTCTCTCCTCTCTCAGGCTCTTGGTCCATAACCGAGTGCCTGACTTTTCAGAGGGGGACACAAAAAAATTTGGTTTCACCCGGGTGTGATCTACACCCCTTTTGTGACGCCACTGTTTTCACACAACTTTGACACATTTTTTCCTATGAATCCAATGATACAAAATGTATAACTCTTGTATGAAAACTTTTGGCCCTTTGATGTTCTTTTGATATCTTATGTTATATGTGAACACTCCACCTCCTTCCATTCATGGGGAACATTGTACTGTACTTTGTGGAAGAACAGCACAAGAACATCACAGCTTGAACAATTCGGGATGCATCCTCCAGCCCACATGGTCTGAGTTGTGTATACAACCTGTGAAGCTGTTCACATTGAAAGTCCAGGTCGGTGCCTTGTGTTTTCAACACTGCATGAATGCAGTAGGACAGCCTCAGCAGTTTGAATTATTTAAGGTGTAATAGGAATTGTAGTCCAGAATTGCAACATCACAGGAAATTGAATTCTACTTTCTAGAATTCTACTTGTAATGTCATTTAAAAAACCATGCTTTTGTGCCACGTCTTCACACCCACTATCCAGGCTGGATCAGAAAAGAAAATGCTAATGCAGGCTAGGCAACTTCTGCACTCTGGCTGTTGGTAAACTACAAGTCCCATGAGGCATTGCAAGACTGACAGCCACAGCTATGACACCAAGACCCAGGCCCATGATGAAATTTGTAGTTTCACAACAGCTGGAGTGCTAAAAAAAAAAGGTATTTTGGATCAAATCTTACAGGGCATTCACACAGGGCTATTCCAGCACTACACTTTTATAATTGGATCACTTCTACAATTCCAGCCACTACCCAGTGACATTTCACCTCACTGTACACAGGAACATCCTGCTACTGCGCATCGCTAAACAGACCCTTTCCCTACAGCCACTCGAGCACGTAAGACGTAGATGGGTGTACCAATATGGCCACGCATCAAACAGTCTCTTCATTGGATGAACGCTATTGGCTCTCATATAAAATGGTGTACGATTGGCTGTTGTGGAAGTATATAATGCGGGTCCCGCCCATCCACGGCCTCTTTTGCGTCAGCTCCGACAGGAGACTCTCTATACGGCTTTGTCGATTGTGAGTTTTATGCCGGGTTTTGTGTTTAGCGAAGCTACCGTAATGTATTAATGATAAAGATCCGTTTAGATGGAGGTAGCCTGTCACTTTTAGTGTGTAGCCGTGGATTTTACTTTGTTTTTAAGCACTAGGCCCAGTTACATTCGCTTTACCGTTCTCGGAACATGGTGGGCTAGCAAAATTACAGGATCATGCCAGGCCGGTGTGTTCTGATGGGTGGCTTCAGGGGTTTGCTAGTACGGCGTTGGGGGAAGGCACACTGATACTTCTGGTAATAGAAGATCGTCAGAGCCACGTGTTGTCGGGGCGGGTCACGTGCTTGTGCTTAGAGTGATTGTGACCCTTTTCTGGTGTTTAACAATGTTGTGTGTTTTTCAGATAAGCCAGGCAATTCTAATGTGACCTATTAAGGCAGTTTAGAGTAGGGATGCTTTTGTTACGTTGCAATGGTTATGACAAATTCATAATAAAATACTGCCATTTTGGAGGTAAGGAAACTGGTGGTAAACAATGGCAGTGTCTTCCTGGAGTAACTTGCGCTAGGAGTGAAATCGGCAACCCCAGATTGATTACACCTAACAAACGGCGGCATCCTGAAGCATTTATGCAGCAGCTGTAACCTTGGCACCATTTTAAACAGTCACCGGTGGATTTTCCAAATACAAGTAATCTGGCAGCTGTAGAGCCACCCGATCACTTGTATGGTGCCAGGAAGTGTGTGCCCCCTGCCACCAGCTTTTCCGGGCTCCAACACCCTGTGTGGGCCCAGGACTGGCATAGTTTGTTCACATCGATCAGAGGTCTATCAGCACACTTCCAGCTGCTGATCTTTCCTCAGATCACTGAACCTGGAAGCGACATATATCACTTCTGGTGTCATTTCTTTGGCTGTTGGAGAAGAAGCTCATGACACACAATCATTGCTTCATCCACTTCTTTGGGGTCAATAGGTGACATTAGAGGTTTAACAGAACCCTGATCTTTTCATAGAGTACCAGAAAACAGCCCGCATGTTGGCCCCCTATGCGATAGCAATAACAAATGTTAGCAATAGTTACATATAAAAATATAAACGCGAAATTGTTTTTTGTTTGTTGTTTTTTTTAACCACTTGCTGTCCTGGGCTCTGCTGTCCCCTGTGAGCCTGGGACCAGCACAGCAGCTGCCTGCACAGAGAACGGAGGAGAGATCAGCATTGCCCCACCGCTGATCTCTCCTCTGTTCTCTCTAAAGGCGGAAGCGATGTATATTACCTTTAGCCTTTAGCTGTCATTTCTCTGGCTGAGAGCCCGAGAGGAAGCTGGTAAAGCAGATGTCTGCTTCATCAGCTTGTTTTGAGGTCCTTAGGTGACAAGGGTCTTGGAGACCCCTGATGTCTCCATAAAGAGGACCTGTCACTGTATATCACATAGGGGACTTCTTAGCCCCCTTATGTGATAGCATAAAGAGGACCTGTTTTAATTGTAAAAAAAAATAAAAGAAAGCTCTATCTGTCCCCAAACAATGGTATGAAGTTAATTTCAGTACAGCGCTGCATGACGGAAATGTCAATGTACCACAGTGCTGAATACTGAAAAATGCCGTGGACAGGAAGGGGGTTTTAACACCCCGGTCAGCAAGCGGTTAAAGTCCCCCCCACCCCTGCATACACGCACAAGCAAACGTGCCGTGTGCGAAAACTACAATTGTGCCACACGTTTCATATTGCTGCAATTGGCATGGCAGCAATAATGCTAGGGCCATCGGTTACAGTTGACACTAAACTGGTGAGCGGTAAAAGCTTTTCACCTATGGGAAATTTTGGGTATTGTATTTTTTTGCGATTAAACGGGCATATGCCATTTTAAGGCTCAATGCATTTCTATTTACAGGACGTCACCCCATTTTTTATATTTTACAAAAAAATTGGGTATTTTGTTTCTGCACTAAGTTTCACTGTAGTGTATTTTATCCTGAATATTGATTTGATAAACATTTGCACAATTACCATAAATTGAGACTAGATTTTTATTTGGGAGGGCTTTTAAGCGGTTTTCTAGCCAAAAATTCAGATTTTATTGTAAAAATGAATTGCTCTGGACAGTAAGTAGTCATGATTGAAATGTAGGAACTGCTGACATTTTTAGAGGTTTAAGCTGCAGGGCGGTCATCATTCCCTTCACTGTTTACTGTTTAGCCTTGCACTGTTACAAACCTGTCGGCAGTTTCATATGTATCCTGACTGGTTTGTTTCTTGCAGTTTACCCATCGTAGCTTCAGGGGTGACTAACAATGTCCGGAGGTCTGGATGTCCTGCAAATGAAGGAGGAAGATGTCCTCAAGTTCCTGGCTGCAGGAACACACTTGGGTGGCACTAACCTCGACTTCCAAATGGAGCAATATGTCTACAAACGGAAAAGTGATGGTCAGTCTAATATGTTGTCCATTTACTCAGAGAAAGATGTTTACTTTTGTACAGCACGCTGTTAAAGCTCTGTGGTTAGGTTGAGTTTTCAGCCAATGAACTCTAGAGTGTCGGATGCGTGCGATAGTAACATGACAAGATTTTCGCTAACACCGCCAGAGCTTCCTGCTCAATGATCGGGGTTTGATAGTGATCTATGTCACATTATTTATGTTGTGTTTTCAGCGGACTAGAACTGTAAAAGTGGCAATAAAAGGCAAGCAGAGGGCAAAGGACTTGCCCGTAGTATTACTTCTAGGCTGTGTGTTCTGCACTGTGTAAGGGCAGCATCTTGGTAGATGCAGGGCTTTGCTTCTACATGTCAGAGCTGCCCCTCTGGTGATTTGATGACTGGTGCAGTGACAATTAAGAAATAGCAGATGAGGTGAAGAAAGCATAGAGCCTCATAATAAAGCAGATGACTTTACAGTAAAGAGAACAGTGAGTATGCAATCAGGCATAATGCTCGATCAGCTTCACAGCTATGAGGCGTCATGCATAGTCACTGGTCGGGAAGAGCACTACTTCAGGAGTTGAAGGTAAACTTTCTCAATCTACAGGGCCTCTGCTTTCAAAAATTATACTATGTTTTGGGGTTTTAAGTCCTTTTCTATCCAGAAAATGTAAAAAAATTCCGATAGCAAAGTGGCTTTAAAAGTTTAATGCTCACAAAAACTTTGCTTTTCTCTGCACTGGTAAAGCTTGCGTATATTGTGGGTAGTTGTGCTCTAGGTAAAAGAGAACTATGGGTTAACCTTTTTATCCCATAGTTCTCTTTAGGGTCATATACTAACCACCTCCCGTGACGCAAAGCTCAGTATACAATGAGCTATTGTGAGTTATATACTGAGATCGCCGCAGTGGGGATGGATCCTGACAATACTGTAGAGATCCAGCTAGCTGATTGATGGTGGGCTCTGCCTATCTAGAGGCAGAGCCAGTTGTGCCCTCCCCCGCTCATTCCTCCAGACAGTGCCTGAAGGGGAGGGGGGAATCCTGTGGGTAGCGATGACTGACGGTCGCCACTCTGCAGGGAGATGATCGAGAAGTGAGCGAGAGCGACGGTATGTGTTCGCTCACTTCCCGATCAATAGAGCCGACCTGTGACAAGGAAACTGAAAATCACTCCTCATAGTTCTCCCTTAAATCTCCACATGTCTTTTGGAATTCCTCCAAAATGACCGCACATTTGCTTTAGTTTTAAATTGCAAAATCCTAATGTGTTCTATTTGATATCTACCCAAGATATGAGTTAACATGTGGCCTTTAAACATGTTCTCACAGGTTGGCGTTTGTAGCTGTTTTATAAGTACTTTTAACATTCTTTTTCAGGTATTTACATTATAAATCTGAAACGGACATGGGAGAAGCTTCTGCTTGCTGCACGTGCCATTGTAGCCATTGAAAACCCAGCTGATGTCTGTGTGATTTCCTCCAGAAATACTGGCCAGGTACACTGTCATTTGCTGCTGTGCAATGTATATTGGCCCCTAACATAAAGGCTTTAAAAAAAAAAGTGGGAGACTTTCATGCCCATCTTTTCGTGGTGTCCAATCTGTTCCAAACATTTTGTGACCTATTTCAGGAGTAATGTAAGAATCTTTTTGCAGAACGGAGTAGATGCTTGATACGTGGGAAGCACAGTGGCGTAGTGGTTAGCGCTTCTGCCCTGCAGCACTGGTGGTCCCCGGTTCAAATCCCGGCCAGGTCACTATCTGCAAGGAGTTTGCATGTTCTCCCTGTGCTTGCATGGTTTCCTCCTCCCACACTGCAAAGACATGCTGGTAGGACAAAGACTATGTATGCATGTGAGATGGGGACCTTAGATTGTAAGCTCCTTGATGTGAATGTGCAATGTGAATGTGCAACTATGTAAAGTGCTGCGTACATTGTTGTTGCTATATAAATTCCTATAATAATATACAGTTATTAGATTTAGTAATGAAACTATAGCTGTTGCTAAAACAATTTCTTACCTGCCAATATGTCTACAAAAGGAAAAGTGATGGTCAGTCTAATATGTTGTCCATTTACTCAGAGAAAGATGTTTACTTTTGTACAGCACGCTGTTAAAGCTCTGTGGTTAGGTTGAGTTTTCAGCCAATGAACTCTAGAGTGTCGGATGCGTGCGATAGTAACATGACAAGATTTTCGCTAACACCGCCAGAGCTTCCTGCTCAATGATCGGGGTTTGATAGTGATCTATGTCACATTATTTATGTTGTGTTTTCAGCGGACTAGAACTGTAAAAGTGGCAATAAAAGGCAAGCAGAGGGCAAAGGACTTGCCCGTAGTATTACTTCTAGGCTGTGTGTTCTGCACTGTGTAAGGGCAGCATCTTGGTAGATGCAGGGCTTTGCTTCTACATGTCAGAGCTGCCCCTCTGGTGAAAGGCTTTAAAAAAAAAAAAGTGGGAGACTTTCATGCCCATCTTCATGGTGTCAAATCTGTTCCAAACATTTTGTGACCTATTTCAGGAGTAATTTTAGGAACCTTTTTGCAGAACGGAGTAGATGCTTGATACGTGGGCAGCACAGTGGCTTAGTGGTTAGCGTTTCTGACCTGCAGCACTGGGGGTCCCCGGTTCAAATCCCAGCCAGGTCACTATATTTTATTTTGTGATGTAAAAGTTTTATATTCTTATTGATTCTTCTCTCTACTTGTACTTCTCCCTCTCCTTCTTGCAGTCGTGTAAGCATTTCACTGCATATCATACTTGTACGATTATGTATGTGACAAATAAAGAAATCTATCTGCAAGGGGTTTGCATGTTCTCCCTGTGCTTGCATGGGTTTCCCCCGGGTACTCCGGTTTCCTCCCACATTGCAAAGACATGCTGGTAGGTTAATTGGCTCTATGTGGCCCCCCTATCTATGCATGTGAGATAGGGACCTTAGATTGTAAGCTCCTTGATGGTAGGGACTGATGTAAAGTGCTGCGTACATTGTTGGCGCTATATAAATACCAATAATAATATACAGTTATTAGATTTAGTAATGAAACTATATAGCTGTTACTACAATTTCTTACCTGACAGGAGACAAAATATGGACCTTTTATGTGAAACTATACTTAATTGCCGTTGACATTAGAAATGTTTGCCATTGCTGAATCCTTTCTGTAAATGCTAGGTGATGCATCATGCTGACCTACCTTTAGTACTGAGCTTGTATACATAAGTATACAAGCTTTTCCTGATCTGTATACTTATGTGGGTCAGTGACTTGTATGAAAGCCACGCAGTCAGCATGATAGCCAGGCAACTAGCATTTCCCCACAGGGTGTGTTATGCTTTCACATTCAGCATTAATGGACACAGCCCATTAAAGCATCAACATGCATAAGGTTTCACCTTGACTTAATTTCTTTCAGAGGGCTGTCCTGAAATTCGCTTCTGGCTGTGGGGCCACCCCAATTGCTGGTCGCTTCACACCTGGTACTTTCACCAATCAGATTCAAGCTGCTTTCCGTGAGCCACGCCTGTTAGTTGTGACTGACCCACGAGCTGATCATCAACCACTTACAGAGGCATCATATGTCAATATTCCTACTATTGCTCTCTGCAATACAGATTCACCCCTACGTTATGTGGATATTGCCATCCCCTGTAACAACAAGGTAAGAAAACAAATGACCTTAAGGGCTCGTTCACACAATGTCCGGACCAGAAGAATGTTTCCGACCTGAAATGCATCCCATATGTATTCCTTTGGTATTTCTGGGCTCTGCTCACACCAGTGCAGTTTGTTCCAGTGCGGACTGGGACCCACCAATACGCATGTAAACTTATCAACACATGCAAATGCACTAGACTGCACCTGGAAGCCTGTTTTGAACTAAATGCACTGAAAAATGTCAAACGCACTGCACTGCATTTGCAGATCTGGTCATTGTGTGAACAAGCCCTAAAATGACAGCATGCAAATGTGTATTTCTGTTCTGCACACTGTTAGAGCTTGGAGATGAGGTCAGTACTGGCCCATGAACTCTTGAGTGTAGGAAGTGTGCTATATAAACATGGCAGGTTTCATACCAGTAGTAGCATTTTTTTGCTCTGACTGGAATTTGAAGACAATTGTCCCCTTGCCACACGTTTCTGTTTATGGGATGTTCATTTTAAATGTAAGCTGTAAAATCACTTGCTTTGTATCAAAAGGAAAGTTGTTGTTTTTTTTTTTTGTTCTTTCCATGCGGTTGTTTTTTGGTTGTGTTCTTCTGTTGGTAATGGTCCCCTAATTTAAATATAGCAATTGTCCATGCTCCCGCTATACAGGTAATGTGTGGGTCACATCTACAGTTAAAGGAGAACTATGAGGTGAGTGCTTTTCACTCACCTCATAGTTCTAGCCGACTTGTGACAATGAGACTGCCACCGGTCGGCTCAGTAGATCGGGAGGTGAGCGAACACATACCAGGTTCACTCACCTCTCGATCCTGTCACGGCTCTCTGCCGTGACAGGGGGAGGGCTGGATTCCCCACTCCGATCTGCCAGCGCTGACGGACGGGGGAGGGGGTGGGTACAGCTGGCTCTGCAATTTATTCCGTCATTCAGCACTGTACTGAAATTAATTTTGTACACTTTTTTGGGGACAGATAGAGCTTTCTTTTGGTGGTATTTATTCACCACTGGGGTTTTTTATTTTTTACTATATTGAGGAAAAATTACCAAAATGTAAAAAAAACAGTTTCCCCTATATTAAATGATAAAACATTTATTACCCAATATAAAAGACGGGGTCACGTCGGGTAAAAAGACACCAAACATGTCAAGCCTTAAAATTGCGTGCGTGCGCGAAACCTCAAACGATAATACCCAAAATTGGCCATAGGCGACGCTTTAAAAGCTGTTACCGCTCATCAGTTTAGTGTTATCAGTGATTGATGGCCCTAAAATGATTGCTCTATATTTTGCACTTATTGTTGTTGCTATTATATAGGGGGATAACCATCCCCCTATATAATAGCAAAGGTACACTGACAGGTCCTCTTTATGGAGACATTAGGGGTCTCTAGGACCCCTAATGTCACCTGTGGACCCCAAAAGAAGCTGATGAAGCAGAGATCTGCTTCATGACTGACAGGTGAATGCGGAAGTGATGGAATACACATCACTTCTTCAGTCACAGCCCGGAGGGAGTTCAGCAAGGAGCCGGTCCCGGGCCGCAGATGGGGCAGCGGATCCGGGGATTGAATAGGGGGTGCGCCAGAGCAGAAAAAAAATGCCGTCTGGCGACGGCAACCCGCCAATGCTGCAGTGCCGTCCGTCCGTTTTTTTACAACGGGCGGACGGCAAGTGGTTAAAGATGACTGATGCTGTACTACCCCCTGTTTTAAGAGCACAGCACACATGGTTTTTCTTTCAAGTATGTTGTCTCTTGATTAAAACCTTGGAGCTGTGTGGAGGGAGGGGTAAGAGCAGGCTCAGTGGCTTGTAAACTTCAGCTTAAGCTATTGAGCCTTGTATACATTCTTTTACAGCTGGAGGAAAGGGGAAATGTGAAAAGTTTACCTTGTGCTCTCTTCATAATAAAAACTAAGCACTGGTAATGTACAGTATTACCTTACAACATAATAAAGGGAATATAAGACAATTCTGTGTATTTGGCATGTTGCTCTGTTGTCAAAGTCTAAGATGTGTTTATTTTTAGAACCTTAGATCTGTTAAAACAATAAGTATTTCTTCATGAATGTGGCTATTTAATCTGCTTTACCAGGGTGCCCATTCTGTTGGTCTTATGTGGTGGATGCTAGCACGTGAAGTTTTGCGCATGAGAGGAACGATTTCCCGTGAACATCCATGGGAAGTCATGCCTGATCTCTATTTCTACAGGGATCCTGAGGAGGTATGTACATATAATGCTGCTTGTAAAGCTGAAAATGCTCTACACCAAAGTAGTGTATTACTTTGTTGCTGCTACAGGAGTAACTGTGAAAAGCGTAGAGAAAATGAACTATGGCCCAACCTTTTTTTGCCATAGTTCTCTTTATGGTCACAGGAGGACATTTACTAATATCCTCCTGTGACCTAAAACTCAGCTTATAGCGGGCTATTTCCTGCTGTATGCTGACGGCGCAGAGTTGAGATGTGGCTGGCAAAGATCCCGACAATATTGTCGGTCCACCCTGCTACCTGATTGACAGCTGGATCTGCCTCTGTAGAAGCTGTGCCCACCCCTGACCATCCCTCATCAGTGCTGGAGGGGGGGTCCCTTCAGGGATCGGTGAATGACTCATCGCTCTCTGCTGGGAGATCGGGAACGGAGTGATCAGCGGTATGTGATTGCTCAGTTCTTGATCAATAGAGCCGACTTGACAGCTGCAGTGTCGCACGTTGAATTTAATTATGGGGTTAAGTGTATTTCACTCTCCCCATAATTCTCCTTTAGGTCTAGTTCACACTGAGCGTTTAGTGGTGCGCTTTTTTTTTTTTTCTGCCATAAAAAAGCTTAAATGTGCCCAAAATAAATTCCATTTATTTCTATGACCCTGTTCACATCTGAATAAGCAAAACGCCTGTTGCTGAAAAAAGTGGTGGGGGGGTTGGGCATTCTACAGCTTGTTTTGGCCCTGTTGACCTAATAGGAAATGCTTGAAACTGACTTACAGGCTCTGCTTATTGGTGTGGGTTATCCAAAAGGCATTTGGCTGTAGGGCCTGTTTCCTAGTAGTTTATCCATTTCATTTCTAAACTTTCTTTTTTTTCCTTTTCTTTGTTCCCTCAGATTGAGAAGGAAGAACAGGCTGCTGCAGAGAAGGCTACCACTAAGGAGGAATATCAGGGTGAATGGTCTGCAAATGTTCCAGAGTTTAATCAGCCTGAAGTACATGACTGGTCAGAAGGAGTACCAGTCCCATCTGTGCCCATTCAGCAATTTCCTGCAGGTACATAGGTCATATCTATGATTTTTAATTTCAATTGTTTTAAAAATGTAACTTTTTGAATAAAACAAAATTTCTTTCTTTCAGAGCGTCCCGATGTCCCGACGACAGCAGCAGCAGCAGCTGCAGCAGCTCCCAAACCTGCAGGTAATGTATTTTGTCTAGCTTGCTTTTGGTTTTAGGGCCTGTTCACATGATATCAGGTCTTGATCAGGTGCGGATCTGCAGACGCGGTGCTACTGATGCAGTGTGTTTTTTATGCGCTCCAGTTCCACTTCCTGGAGTGGGGCTGTCAGTATGTTAGCTGCAGTGCGTTTTTGTGCAAAATGTGACCTGTAGTATTTTTTGTCGTAACCTGAACGGGACTGCGCACGTGAGAACTGTAGCCCATAAAACACATTGGGATGCATTCTTAGTGCAGGAGCGTACGGATCAGGTCAGCAGATCCATAGAAAACGGACGTAGTGTGAACAGGCCCTCAGGGTTGGGCTGGAATTCCGTGGTTAAGATTTGCTGTATCATACTGTTTGTCATCTTGTCTTTGCATTCTTTGATGGTAATGTTTAAGGGCCTGTTCACATGAGTTTCAGGTCCTGATCAGACGTAGTGCTATGTGTTTTTGATGCGTTCCAGTAAGTTGTTTTTTTTTGTTTTGTTGCTGGAGTGGGGCTATCAGTATGTTAGCTGCAGTGCGTTTTGCGTTTCCTGACTGTACAAAATGTGACATGCAGTATTTTACTATCGTAACCTGAACGGACTGCGCACGTGAGAACTGTAGCCCATAAAACACATAGGGATACATTGGGATGCATTCTTAGTGCAGGAGCGTACGGATCAGGTCAGCACAGAAAACGGACGTTGTGTGAACAGGCCCTAAACCCCAAGTTCAACCATAAGTTTTGGATAATAGGAAGGCTTAAGAATTTGTCAAATTTGTTGAGCTTACTGGAGGTAACATTTTATGTCCCTGTGGCACCAGTGTAAGAATATACTGGAACGGGTATAGAAGACCTACAGCAATGAAATCAATCACCAACTGTTTTTGCAGCAAATTCAGGCAATAGGCAGAAGGCTCCAGGGAAGGACCACGGCTGTCACCTCTACTACTGTATTGCGGTCTGATGTACAATGCAAGGGGTGTGTTGGGCCAATGTGTAGAGACCAATACTCCTCGCAGTATTGTAGCGTTTTGCGTTTCCTGACTGTACAAAATGTGACATGCAGTATTTTACTATCGTAACCTGAACGGACTGCGCACGTGAGAACTGTAGCCCATAAAACACATAGGGATACATTGGGATGCATTCTTAGTGCAGGAGCGTACGGATCAGGTCAGCACAGAAAACGGACGTTGTGTGAACAGGCCCTAAACCCCAAGTTCAACCATAAGTTTTGGATAATAGGAAGGCTTAAGAATTTGTCAAATTTGTTGAGCTTACTGGAGGTAACATTTTATGTCCCTGTGGCACCAGTGTAAGAATATACTGGAACGGGTATAGAAGACCTACAGCAATGAAATCAATCACCAACTGTTTTTGCAGCAAATTCAGGCAATAGGCAGAAGGCTCCAGGGAAGGACCACGGCTGTCACCTCTACTACTGTATTGCGGTCTGATGTACAATGCAAGGGGTGTGTTGGGCCAATGTGTAGAGACCAATACTCCTCGCAGTATTGTCTGCAACTTGCTTCTGTGGAGCTTTAAAATGCCTGCAAGCAGTATGATTCTTAGAGATTGCTGCTCACCAGTAAATGGTTCTTAGGTTCAGTCTTACTTGGTAAAAGGAGCCCTAGATGTGGAATGCACTTGAAAATCAGAATTGTAAGATTAGACATTTTAATCTTGGTAACATGACCAAAACAAAAAGAATTGGCCTTGAACAGAGTTTGCACTGCCTCTGGGGTGTCTCCTGTGACATGCTGTGATCTTCCCTCCCAGCCTAACTGTTTAATGCCTATTAAGTTTTGCTGAAGTAGTTGCAGCTGTGGTTACTGTGACAACTGCAGGTTTTTTAAATGTCCTGCTAGAACAGTCTAGATTTTGCAATGCAAGAGTCGTAGAATGATGCAAATAATTGTACAGCTAACTAGTAACTATGCCAAAAGTAAATTGTATTGGTTGGACTAGTCATTGTGCTGATTATTTTTTATTTCTCCCCCCCTTTAGCCGAAGATTGGAGCTCCCAGCCCGCTAGCACAGATGACTGGTCTGCTGCCCCAACTGCTCAGGCATCCGAGTGGGTGGGAACAACTACTGAATGGTCTTAAAACATTCTGGTGGTGTCTGTGTTGAAACATCATGGTGGACTTTGAAATAAACATGTTTTTGGATATCGTCACTTGTGTCTTAATAACAAGTGTGGGGCTATTACAACTATAAATAGTAATGAATAGGGGGTGGGGGAGAACTTGCTTGTAATATACACACATTGCTTGTCAAAACACAGAGGTGGCCATTTCCATGTGGATATGAAGAAAGCTAACAGAAAATGTTCATATACCAGCAACTGCACATGCCTACTTCATGTACAAAGCTGGTATGTTGTGGGTTTTTTTTTTAATTAAAACCTCAGCAAAGGTGGAAATAGGCTTTAAAGCATCTTTGTACTGGGGGGAAGCAAAGGATATGTAGGCACCATCTTTACCTTCTCTTGCCACCATGTCAGTACACTTTGCGCTCAAGCTTTGGCAGACTACACATTTTTTCTCATAGGCTTTTACAGGTTAGGTAAACCAGGTGATTATTGTGTTAGTACACACACCTGCTCAGTCTCTTAATGACACTAATCTGCATGCAATCATATTGGCCTTGTTCTGTCAGTCAACCATCTCATTCATAGGCACTGATGATGCAGTACAACTGCATGCCAGCCCTGATATGTGCATTCTTTAGAACAAGCAAAAACGGCTTATTAATCATAAGGGATTCTAGTATAACGCCCACAGTATACCATAAAGCTAGCATATTTGAAGTCTAACATCTCTATGTGCAATTATGCTTTTGCAGAAAGCTTTACAATTGTGCACTGCACGGGATAGGAGTTATTACACTTTCAGACCTTCAGAGATGGGAATATACACATTTGTCCCAGGTTATGGGTGTGAATTTTACAGTCTGGTACAGTTGCATTCATGAGTGTATACAGGCCACGGCACTTGTTAAGATCATGTGATATTTTTTTTTTTATAAATACATTTGGGGGAATTTATCAAAACTGGAGCAAATGAATCTGGAGCAGTTGCCCATGGCAACCAATCAGCATCTCTTCAGTTTGCTCAGGTAAGTTTTGAAAATGAGACAGAAGCTGATTGGCTGCAGTCCAAATCTCCTGTTTTGATAAATTCTGTCTATTTTGGTTATTAACACACACTTGGATACATATAAGCAGCAAGAATTGAAAGTCCAGTCACATAAATTAACATGCATAAAGTAAGTATATCTGGGACAAGGAAAGAACAAGAGAGTAAGGATTTTGAACCGTGATTCTTGGTATTTGGTACGTAGCAAGGTTTTCTGTGAGTAGGACAAGATCCTGGTATGTTGGTTCAGGAGAGATCCAAGTCCTGCTCCTATTTTTCAATGTAGAAAGGGGTATAATGACTGGGGTGATGAGCATGGAATACATCAAGGCAACAGAATGTTTAGGGGGCTTTGTTTTGAGTGCATTCATATTCTAAGGCAGTCAATGTGTGGGAAAAGTCCCCCCTTCAGGCAGTAGAGAATGGAAATAGATTGAACCTGCCTCCAAAAGCCTAAGCGTTCTAGTTGGTGGTCAGAGGCCAACTGGATCTGCGATGGCCACCCAACTTCTAGGCAAAAATGTTGGGCTCCAAGTGTTGCAACATATCAAATGTAGGAAATGGAGTCTACACGTGCTGGAGGAAATGCAGGATTCCTGATAATGGGAAACAAGGGGGCCAAGGAGATTTGGGCTAATGGGAAGACGTTTTAGCGTAATTCCAAGGTGGTGCCAATATGAGAGTGAGTCTTGACTGCCTGAAAAAAATTTCTGGAACACAACTAAGAAAAGGAGGGGAGAGGATTTGAGGTGGCCACCTGTACCACACCTACCCACTGCTTATGGTGTCACTCTGATGCCAGTCTAACATCTTGCCAGGAGACTTGCAGAATGATAATGAGAAACGTCTGGAAGTGCCAATCCCCCCAAAGTCTTGGGCAGACGTAGCACCTCAAACTTAAGTCCAGGCAGTTTATAACCCATAAAAAGTTGGTGAAGGTTGTGTTGATTGACTTCAAAAAGGAAGCTGGGATATGGACAGGGCGCACCTACAGGACACAGCATCACGTTCATTTTAATAATACTACACCTCCCAAACCAGGAGAAAGCCACTGCCAGCGTGTGAGATCTTGCTTAATCCTGCTGGGGAGAGGGGAAAATTAAGAGCAAAAACGTGTATGCTATGTGGAATATGTATGCTCAGATACTGGATAAGGAGCGGTCGACCATTTAAAGGGTAAGTTCTGTTTCAGCAACTGAACCGATCTAGACAGTAAGGGAATTTGGAGGGCCTCCGATATGGAATATTTATCTTCAAATTAGAAAGGGAACCATAAAGGCTAAACTCCGACATAAGGTTGGGAAGGAAGACCACGGGGTTGGCAAAAAAAAAGATTGTCTTCTGTGATTGAGGTAGACCAATATCAAGACCAGTAATATCAGGGCGAGCCCTAATTCTGTGCAAGAAAGGTTCTAAGGTGAGAATGAAGAGCTGCGGAGAGAGTGGGCACCCCTGTTAAGTACCATGGTAAAGGAGGCAGAAAAAGTACCGTTGACCTGCATGGTTGCTAAGGAATAAATCCCTTTAACCTAGGACATCACCTCACCCAGACCCACATGCCTCAAAGTTAGTTCCACAAAGTCCCAGCTCAATCAGATGCTTTTTCAGTGCCTGTGGAAAGTAACATATGAGGGAGTGATCTATTGTGGGCCATATGGATAACATTTAGCACCCTAGTTGTGTTGTCTCTCACTTCTCTTGTGGGGACAATGCCAGGCTGGTCAAGGTGGATAATGTCCTGTAACTAGGCAGGTGGATCTGTTGCGAGGATTTTAGTGAAGTTTCAAATCGATGTTTAACAGCAAGATCGCACATTGAAGAGGATCTTTCCCATGTCATCTTCCAGGGCAGCACAGAAGAGAGAGACTCCACCCACCTATAACAGGAAACACATCATCCACCATTAAATTAAAAGGGTGTTCCCGCCCAGCCACCTCAGTTTCTTGTTTCCTCTGGCCTAACAGGAACATCATAACCGTTTATCTTTACATAGGTGCTAGTTGCAGGGGCCTCCCAGTGTATGCTCCCTGGGGCCAGGCACAGTGAACCTGGAGGCAGGGGCGTATCTGCCGCGAGGCAAACAAGGCGTTTGCCTCAGGCGGCAGATTTCGAGGGAGCGGCAAAAATGCTGGGGACTCAATGTACCGGTGTGCGGCCCGCGAGCCGGTACTTTGTGACTTGCAGCCAGCTCAGAAGTCAGGTATACAGTCATGGACCGCATACCTGACTTGCGGGAGCAGCTACACGGTCTGCATCTCTGTCGGATGCAGACAGTGTAGCTGAGTCTGCGCCGTCACCCGGATCCTTTCGGCCAGCGCTCTTTTACTGAACGCTGGCCGAAAGGATTGGGACCTTCCCAATCGACCACCGATCGGGACCGGCGTGCCGCCTCACATCCTCCTCCCTGCAACAAGGTAAGCAGGAGAGGGGGCTTTGCATTGCATTATGACAAAAAAGCAATATAGAGAAAAAAAAGTCCCAAGGAAAAATCAAAAGCAAACAATGGTGATTTTTTAACCAATTTAGTTGTGCTAGGAAAAAATGTTAAAGCACCAGCTGCAACAATGTGTATAAACGTGATCAATGTGAGCCAGTATGTTGTGCTTGGTTTTGTGTATTCCCCCTGCCAGTTCATAAAAAAGAGAAGTGTTCAGTCATAAACCTTTGTTTAAGAAGGTTAGATGCCAATCATTGAAATCAAAAAATCGTGTCTATTGTGTGGGATTGCGTATCAATATTTCGTAGTGATTTTGTGATTTATAAATCGTGGGGAAGTGATTAAAACAAATAAACCATTAAACCTTGACCCGTCTATTATTTTGTTCAATCTCTATTCAGTGATGATAATTATGTTGTGAAAAACCACAGTGGCAGACCACAAAAATGTGATCTAAATACTAACCATGTGTAAATCAAATATGAATTATGTGGCAATTATATACATCGCATCAATCGATATAAATGTAAAGAGGTTAGTCAGCAAAAGAACAATGTGAATCAGCAAAACACAATATAAAATGATTGCACTTACAGGATTTTGCTGGATAAAACAGCATGTGAGTGTTAAGGACACTCAGCCTTATGGAGCCTTTTCAATGTGTCAGCGAGGAGACAATCAACTCCCTTGACACGTTTCGTCCTGAGGACTTTTTCAAAAGGGTGCTATGTTATAAACGTGCTAAAGAACACGTTTATAACATCAAACAAGGTTATAAAGATCATTCTGTCTCTAAACACTTTCTGCAGGTACATAAAAAAAACTCAGGTTTATTACAGTTTTGGGGAATAGAAAAGGTGTATAGACACTGGAGAGGGGGGAATTGGAGACGTCAGTTAGCGAAAAAAGAAACCCAATGGCTTTTTAAAGCAGGTTCTTTGAAGCCCTATGGACTTAATGCAGAATTCGTCCTAAATTGTTTCATATCTAATGCCTGAAATTTTTAGGAGCAGGAGTGGTTTTATACATTTTGTTATTTTTACATACTAGGTTTTTTGCGTCCATTTTATATGTGCTATTTTTTACATGTCATTCCCATTTTTGAGATTTATATATTTTTTTGGTTTGCTGCCCCCTGCAGGCCTATTAGTTGGCCTATTTGTATACTATTATATGGCATATATTTATTTATTTATTTGTATGATAATTTTATATGGATTTGGTGCTTAGGCTCCTCCTTTATGCTCTATGTTGTTGGTTTTATAACTTGTATGTATTTTATATGTAATTTGATCCATTTCCCTTTCTTCTGTGCTCTGGCCTGTGTTGTCTCTGCTGATGGTGCTATTTCCATACATATGGTAAAGGAAGTGCACCTGGTTTACTGCCTTTATGGTAGTATGCTTTTCTGTTAAATAGACTTCAAGACATCAGTAGCTCCAGACCCCTGATGAAGTCACGTGTTTTGACGTAACGTACGTAGGGAAGAGCTTCTGATGTCACCGCACTGAGCTCAGCCGGACGAACAGGTTTTTTTTATTTCGCTTTGCTGCCATTTGCCCTGCTGGTCTGATCCAGCAATACCCAATGCCTGTACT